TCAGAGCCTTCCCAAAGCCTCCTGCAGGAGCAGCAGCGTTTGTGGTGGAAGCGTTGGCTCCAGCAGACTGCTGGGGATGCTCAGAGCACTGCTGCGCTCTGCCATATGTCAAGGGAGATGTTTCAGCACATGCCTTTGCAGAACTGTCGTGACTTTAACCCCTTCTGCACCCAAGCCCAACAAAAGATCAATGTGGCTTTTAGGAAACCTGCTGAGATCCTGGGCTGGAAATGGTGAGTCACACTGACAACACCGAGGAAATCATAGGGAGGCCCTTCTGCTCTAATCCACTCCCACGTCTTGCAGACTCTACCCATGCGACATAATGTCGAGGCTACTCAGTTCCCAGCCCCCTTCCAGATTTTGCTTCTGTCTGACACACTCATCCAGGAGCCCTTTCCCTTGCCCAGAACTGTTCCTGCCTCCTGCCAGGAAAATGAATCAACAGCTGACTTTGCCCATTAATGCCAGGGAGCTGCTGCTTTAATGCCAGTTTAAAAGAGAGGAACTGGCTGCCTGCGCTCCATCCCTACCTTGCCACCCACACATACTGTCACTTTTCATCCTCCCCCAGCTGAAAGCCTGCGTCCACCTAGGCCCTCTCTGCCCGAGCACCTTTTGCTGACTGAGCCAGCCAGGAAGCCCAGACAGCTCCAATCCTGCCCGGGCTCTGTCAGGACAAGCACATTTTAAACACGCAGACCACCACTGCACTTTACCTTCCAATCCGGTGGGAGCTGGGCACCGAATCCCAGAGCAGGAAACATTTTATCTCTAAAAAAGAAGAAAAAAAAAACCCATATGGGTGTATCTACACACACATATACACAGAGTCTGCTTGCATGGCTCTTGCTAAAAGGCATGCTCCTTTGGTTACAAAAGGCCTCTTTGTGCTACCAGCTGGCCAACACCCGACTGTCCCGTCCACTGCAAGGAAAGCACCAGGTGTAGAGCTGACCCAAAAAAAGGTGTCAGCCTTCTCTTGCCCCCAAATGACATAGTGGCTTTAAAAATCATGAGAGCTGAACACAGAAAATAGATGTTGCCCCTTTGACTTTTAGCCTTTAGGGAGAAAAGAGTCAAGCTCTGCTTTATCAACCACAAGGACTAGAAGCATCCCCTCACCTAACCAGCTGAGTCTCTTGCAGTCATAGACCTCCAGAAGCTGGGGATTTAAAAAAATTAACTTCCTCTTTTGGTCTCAAAAGTTGGCATTGCCCAGCATGGCAATTCCAATAGATTTCTGGGTTTTTTTCTCTACACACAGATTGCACCCCAGGGCAGCTGGGGAATAAGACAACTTGACAGTGTGGCTGCTAATGGCAAATATCACCAAGCTGAGGGCATCTATCTTTGTACTGAGAAAGCACCAAATGCCTGGTCTCCAACTGCCCCAAGTAAAGGGCACTAAATTACTTTCAGCTGCAAGGATGGGGAGAGAGGAGAAATGCTGTCTGCCCTTACATGGTCTCCTCATTGAATTGCCTGCATAGATGGCAACTTTCTCCTAAGGAGATTTTCCAAAGCCAAGTAATATTTACCCCTACTTTGCAGATGGGAAATCAAGGCACAGAAACAGGTGAAATGCATCCCAGCAGCCCTTCAGGAAGCCAGGAAAACGTCTGTAAAATAACGGTGGAAGCTGAAAGGCACAATGCTTACGAGTCATAGTCCTGAATGATCTGACCGACAGCCCAGATAGCCGATAGATATTCATTTGTTCCCATGGGGTTGATATAGTGCAAAGAGGAGGGGTCTCGTGGGTTCCCGTTGGAGGCTGTGAAGTCAATTCCAACCTGAATTGCAAGAGAGAAGCACAGACCCATCCTCTATTAGAAGTCACCATTATACACCTAACCACCAATTTTCCATTGACTTTGAGATCACAACACAATCCAATCAGGACTCAAAACTTTTGAAAGCTTAACAAAAGTCTTTGGCTTACCTAAAAAGGCCCCAATTAAATACTTAGTTAGGCAAAGCAACCTGCCATTACACCTGAATTTTTCAGCATCAAGCATCATACACAAGGTGTCCTGGAGCAAGCCATTACCATTTCCAGAGCTCCTGCCTGGGCCTGCCTATCTCCCAAATGTTAAGCACAGAGACCAAGTAGCTCCACAGACACTAAAGAAGCCCGGGTTCCCTATACATATGGATCTTAAGGTCTTTGACTCTGGTGTCCAAAATAGAGACACAATCCTGAGTTGAGCTTTTCCTGCAGCTCAGCCATTGTAAGAGCTGCTCTACACTGGGCTTCCCCAGGGTCCAATGTAGACTGAGCTCTCAGGGCATCTGTTTGTCAGCAAGGACCTGATGTATCACTTCCTCTACCAGGCTGTCTATTCAAAAACATTTGTAGGAACTTATACGTAAGACCTCAGCCCCGGTTAAATCTGGTCAATAGTAGCGAGACAATGAGCCAACAGATTTAGAAATGACTGAGAAGGAAGAGTTAGGAAGAGACAAGCAGACGGTGTGACTGCATTTGCCTTGTTTGCTTAGCAAATAGGCAAAACCCAAAATAACTCTGCTGGCTAAATTGAGCTCCGGGGATTTGTACTGGATTTGGTCTGTATCTGTAATGAGAGAGGATAAACTCAGCTCCTGAGCTAGCAACCGCTAACGACTGGGCCAAAGCCAGGGGTGCGTAAAGACGAGAATCACTCAATAAATGACCGTGTGTAAATGATAGGTCAAGATCGAGGCTGGCTTTAGGCAGAGGCAGTTTGGGCCATCCCCACTGTTCAGCATGCCGGCAGAGGACACAAACCAGCCCCAGGAAAAGACGAATTCGCTGCCTGTTTTGATAGTGCTGGCAGGGAACAGGAGAGGCCAGACACTCCCTTTGACAGGCCCGATGCAGGCAAGCCTGCCCAGTCCCGGGGCTGCTGAGGACAGCCACAAAGGGCAGAGGCCTGGAAGGCACCCAGCAAGAAGCATCCTCCCAGATAGCCAGCAGAGGGTGGATGGACACAGAGGAGGAAAATGCAAGAAGTCTTAGCAAAACCCTGCCTCCTTGACACGCAAGCTTAGACTTACCTATATGCAGTTTGTGGCTTTAACATCTGCTGTAGTGTAGCCCAGTTTATGAAACACACGGCTTTGAATAAAACAAAAGATGCGTCTACCACACCGTGGAATTTTTAATCCACGGAGACGACAAGACAAGCGTATCCCTGAGGGAACCCTATTCCTGTCCGCTTCCATGCACAAGTGACAGCGTGGGCTCCCAAGGTTCAGTTTCCCTCTGGTTTTCTCTCCAGGCATGCTTTGGCATCTGCATGTCCAGGTTCCTGCCAAGTCAAACCACCATCCATTGAGGTTTCCTCCTGCTACCAAGGAATTCAATGGTTTTGGTTTCTGGATGCACCAAGGGGAAAGCACAGTGCCAAAATGATCACTTCAATTTCAGCACAAACTAAGAAAGGTTCAGCTGCAAGTGAGACTCACATCTCACTTTAACCCAAGTGACTTGCAGCTCCCCAGCCAGCCATGCTTTGGCATCTGCATGTCCAGGTTCCTGCCAAGCCAAACCACCATCCATTGAGGTTTCCTCCTGCTACCAAGGAATTCAATGGCCTGTCGGAACCATCTCTTGGTTTTTTTGGTTTCTGGATGCACCAAGGGGAAAGCACAGTGCCAAAATGATCACTTCAATTTCAGCACAAACTAAGAAAGGTTCAGCTGCAAGTGAGACTCACATCTCACTTTAACCCAAGTGACTTGCAGCTCCCCAGCCAGCATGAAGCTAACATTTGAGGGAAAGGAAGAAGAAGGGGGAAGGAGAGGCAGCACTGGCTCTTTCTGCTAGCTTCCCTCTAACGAACACACCTGGGAGCAACACAGGGCTCTGCTCTGTATCAGTGTTTACCCCAACTGCTGGTTTTGCTGCTTATTCAGCTCCTCTCAAAGGGAGGCTGACTGTGCTCTTCCCTGTGAAGATGGCCCAGTCCGAGCTCTCCTCTTCCCTGCTGGCGTGTTCCTGTGCTATCGGAATCCAGCGGACCACGAGGGCCTGGGAGATCAAATCCTCCCACACTGGGCATTGCACAGATGCAGGATCCCAGCCTCAGAAAGCCTCTAGTGCTGTCAGATAGCAAGAGGGAAACTGAGGCACACGGAGGTAGCTCCATGTGAGTCAGGTACATAATGCAGTGCTGCCCCAGCACACTACCAACGGATCAAGCAGCCCTCAGACAACAAATTTCTTAGGGATGCAGCTAATCTCCTGCTAGCACAAAGCAGACAGGCAGAAATGCTGTTTTTAGATCCCCTCTTCCCTGCCATTTTAATGCTTCTCTCCAGCAGCAACCTTTTCTTCCAGATCCTCGCCGTCTCCCATGACACAATGTGAATGTCGGGGAGACAGTGTGCACCCAAGGACACAAGCTGCCCTTCCGAATTGCAGGGGTGTACACTGCGCTCTCCTTCTCTCTGCTCTGGCATTTCAGCAGGGTATTGCACCTACCATAGACTATGCAAAAATCCACCCAGGCAAACACAAATCAAAGAATCAGGTGCTTTGCGAGGGGAAAAACCCCAGTGCCCTTCAAAAAACAGTAGATCTTTACACAGGGAGGCAGACTAATTTATACGAGAGCTTTGTGCTACCAGTAAACTTAACAATTTTCCCCTTCTATTCACTCTTTCACACCAAGACCTTAGCAAAACAGCAGCAGAATGGCGTATAAAAAGCTCTTGCACTTGTTCCTGTTTCTATGGTAACTCTTCTTCCTCCTCCCCCCCTCCATGTTTTTAGACAAGACAACAAAATAAAAATTGAAATACTGTGTGTGCCCAGGGTTCTTTAGATACTCTGTCAGAAAAGTTTGCAGAGATTAAAAGGCTAAAGTGCTGAGGGGTGAAAGCTCACTTATTTTCTGTTGTGGTTTCACTGGAGGGTTGTAACTTCCTCTTTTAGTTACTCTTGACAAACTGCTCGTGCTCCAGATCAAATGAGGGTTGAAATACAAATAAAAATTCAGAATACTGCCTCATTAACTGCCAAAAGCCTCTCAGTTGAGTCTGAAATAAGCAAATCTTGCTCAAAAAAACAGTTGGTGGCTAAAACCAGTAAGAGGCAGACCTCAAGAGATGATCAGGCCATCCCCTTGGAAGAGAAAAAGCACCAGGCTGGTGCGGGTTGGAAGAGGGCACCTGGGGGCTCCCCAGGACAAGGTCTCCTGCTCAAGACTCCCTCCAAACGAGCTCAAAGCCAGCGTTGCCAGTCCTTGGAAGCACAGCCCCTTGTCATGAGGGCAGCACTCTTACGTTTAGACAGAAATGAGGAAATACTGCTGCAAAACTTGGGAGAGAAGCTGGTAAAACTTTGTGAAGACTTGGAAGAAGGTCTTTGCAGAAGTCTGGTCTTCAACAACAGTCTTGAAAACTAGCTAGCTGGGCTATTGGATGCACCTGAGCATCTCTGTAATGAACCAAAAATTCCTGACACCACATGGCTGAAAAGGGAACTATGACACCTCCTCATTGTCGTAAAACCTCACTCAACCAAGCCAGCCACATCTGGCTCGGTGCCTAAGCTGGCCAATGTTCAGCCACCTGTACCTATAATTTAATGCCCACCTTGGTAGAGTCTCATGCAGAGAACTCCTCCCCCATTTTGACAGTTTTGTATTTGTTACCATTACTGGACAAAGAGCACCAAAAGTCCTTACAGTAAACATCAGCTGGCAGCCTCCCAGGATGTAGTCGAGGAAGGAGAAATCTCTGGTTATCTGAAAGAAAAAAAAGAAACGGTTTCTGCAACCCTCATCATTGCAGGAAAAAAGTCCCCCTGAAACTGCCTGAGTCTTCAGTCATCATGTTCCCGGGTCTTCAGGAAACTTTATCTATGCGGAAAAGCAAATGGGAAGAAGCACCTGGCTCTCTCAAGAAAGCATTTTGGCACTTCATGAATCATGCATGGAGTGGGGCCAAGCAGGGCCAGTGCATCAGCTAACAGCTGGCATAAGAGGCCTGAGCAGGAGATCTTGGGGAGAGGAAAAGTGTCAGTGGTGGCAAATTGAACTGACCTGACCTGAGAAGCCTCTCCTCACAGCGAAAACAGACTCACATCATCTGCAGATCTGGTATGGGAAGGGCTTTGTAAACACACACCCCCCTGTATGCCGCTGCTATACGAAGGGAAGACTTCGTTAACCCCACAGCATACAAAAAGGACTTTTCTCACCCAGAATCAACCCTTGCCTCCAAAGGAGACACCGAGCAATTGGCTTCTGCAGACCTTGTAGCTCGGGCTTCACGCTGACACAGCCTGCATGAGAATTACGCTCCTCCTCAGGAACGTGGCCAGCCACCATGTGGGCTTGGGATGACCTAGCAATTTATTCTAGCACAAGGTACCAATGAGATAGCAAATCTGTGCAATCACTAGTGCTCCAAGTGGAGAGAAACAACAGATGGAAAGAAGTTGTGTACTCCACAGGACCAGCAGTTGGAAACGCAGGAGCGCTGGAGACAGAAGGGAGCAGAAAAAAGCTCCATGCAATTTAAAGACTCAAACTGGGTGAGGAATAGAATGAAATATCCGAGCTTTGTACTCACTTTGCAGGACTTGACGATGATGATCCCAGAGTTTTTATAATTCTTCTTCTTCTTTTGCTTTTTGGGGTTAATGCATTCTAGTTCTAGCTGTAACACATAACACAGACACCAATATGAAAGCAGTGCTGGGCTGTCCCAGTCAGCAGAAACTTCTGCGAGCTGATTAGCCCGCCTGGACTTGCACAGCCAAGAGCTAGGCCAGCTGCCACCAATGCCAAGCAGCGATGGTGATGGCATGAACCGCTTTGCCTTCGCAGGGGCTGGCTGCATCCTGCAGTGGCACCTCCCAACCATGCATTTCAAAGCACTCAAGAGACACGAGTGAATCACGGCAAGTTACTGCTGTGGAAAGGGAAACTGAGGCACAGGACCTGCTTGGGAAAGGGTTACTTTTCCTTTCCAAGGGTTTTCAACTTGAGATGCCCAACATCTGGCTCAGCTCCCTGCAGCAACCTGTTGCCAAGCCCCACCATCCTCTGAGAGCTAGCAAAGAACTGCTGGCAGCCAAAGAAATGCCTCCTGGCTTCACCCAGGGCCACTCACAGCCACTTCAGACTCCACAGACATCGTTCGACAGCATCGGCCCATGGACCCTGCCTCTGCACCCCATGGTGTGACCAGTCACAGCACCACTCTCATGACTAACTGGTATTTTTTTCCTTCTTGAGCACGGCCCATTGCTCCCACAGCCACTGGAGGCTGAATAATTCCCCTCTGCCTAGGATGTTTGACTGTATTGATAAGCCAGCCCAGCTCCTTGGGAATTTTCTTCACAGCTATGTAAATTTAGCTTCTGCAGGGTCCCAATGCCCTGAGTAGGTTAGGGCTCATCCTTTATTATCCTTTAACTCTACTACCACCCTTCCCCAGTGCTAGGACCTATCCTGCCTGCAGCCACAGACAGCAGACCCACAGCAGGTCCATGTGCAATCACATCCTCTCCTGTTGCCTGGACTCTCTTTATTCCCTGAGCCTTGATGCAAGGCATTAAACCTCTCCAAAAAACCACTGTGCTATAGATAGCCAGCTGGTTTACAGCTCTCTGCTTGCCTGAGTGCAATTGTAGTAACTGCTGGTCCTCCCCTCCAGCAAGCAATAAATATGTTCAATAGGAAGCAAAAAAATGGCTCCACTTCCAAGAAGCTGGCAGGAGAAGGAGGAACCTTGCAGGTGACAACCTGGAAGGAGACCAGAGCTCACCGGAGTACAATAGGCTGGGGTGAAAGTGGGTGAGAGATTAGGAGATGCCTGGAGCAAACACAATGCTCAACATGGTGTTTCTAGAGCAGAAGTGAGCAGGGAGAGAAGGATTAGGAGTGACAGAGAGAGAAAGGGAGGGTAGAGGCTGGAAGGAGGAAGAGTCCAAAGGGTACAGACAGCAGGATAAAAGCTAGAGTAGTTACAAGGGAAAAGCTTAAGCAGAGCTGCAAGAGGAAATGCTCAAACCAACGGGAGGTGGAGGGGAGGAATCAACGCCAGTCAGACCCCAATGAGTAAATACAACGCTTTCTGCTGAGCTCTCAAGTTGCTCCCATCCCACAATCAGGCCATGGCTGGAGACTGCCGAGATTCAGTGAAGAAAGATCACAGGCAAAGGGCAGGAAATACAATGTCAGGAAGGAAAGTAGGACACCAAGACAGCAAATGTCCTCCCTTGTCCACAGCAGCAAACCCCAAATCTTCCCTGATCATTTCTCCACTAAATGGCATGCTCACCAGGCCCCACAGATTTCCCTAGGGCTCAAGTTTTTAACTATAGGGCACCCAGCTGCACCTCCCTCCCTCTGGCTCAGCAGCTAAACAGACCTATATTTTATTTGCCAGGAGCACACGTAGTTTGGAAAAGAGCCATCAACAGGGTGAGTTCTCAAGCCAGCTCAGGTGTATTTGAGTACCCAAAACAAGTGGAGATCAGCTCAGCACATCAGGACTCAAAGAGATGGACACCAAACGGGTACCAAAAACCTACAAAATCCGTACTGTGCTCTGGGCACCCAGCCCTTAAAACTGCACTGCCAAACAACTCCCCACGCTGGCAAAGGAAGCCAAGGGAGACACATGGCACTCGCTCCCGGGATCTGAAGCGCTGAGGCTGCAGGGCTATTTAGAGCAGGCAGCTGCATTTAGAAGCACAGGGGATCAGACAAACGCAAAAGCAAAAGCCGAGTAGTTTCGCCAATCCTGAGCTTCCAGAAGGCAGGAGCAGACAGTAAACAAGACACTCATGCACTTATTTGCACGTTATTGCAGGAGAACAGCCTGGCTCTGCCATTCTCCTTGTGACTTCTCTGCTCCCAAACTAGTGGCAGGACCGAGGAGAGCCCACAGGAGGTCAAGGAGGAGGCGTTTCAGCTCAGGCCTTGGACACAGAGGACGGTGGCAGCTACTGCTCTTTCATTTGCGCCCGGGCACTGATGGGACCTAGCAGCACCTCGCTCAGCAGCTTCCAGCCTTCTCCAAATGACAGTCCCCTCTGTTTCCCTTTGGGAAAGGGGCAGACCCTCTGCAGTGAATTTAAGCTTGCTGACCACAGATCTGCTTTTCTTTGCTCCCTTATGCACTCTTGGGAACAGTCCGTGAACTCCCAAACACCAGATCTTGCAGGACAAGATGAGGGTGGCATTCACCTAGGGAAGGCCCATGAAGAAAACCCTGCCACAAATCTCCCCAGGAGACAGGAGCAGAGTGCTTCCGCCTGTGACACGCTGGTGGGAATGAGGGATGAAGAGCCAAGCCACATGCCAATTGCAGCATTCACGTGCCCACACAAACACCGAGGCTGGATACCCAGAGCTGCCTGTCCCTGCACAGGCAGGGACAGAGGTGGGTGAGATCCTGGCATCCAACATCAGTGGCAATCAGCTCTTCCTGCACTGTGTTAGCTGGACCCCCGCAGCCCTGGTGGCTCATGCCCTTGGCTTTTATACAGAAGGAAAAGATGAGCTCAGAACAGGTGCCCAGTCAGGCTTCAGTGCTGAGACAGATGCTCTGGATGCGGCTTTCTCCACCTACCCTAAACCTTAGTGGGTCCAGGGCAGCGCTGGGATGGAGCTTGGATCCTGAGATGTAACCATCCAACCGGCAGCATGGCACGGCCCTTCAGAGGCCAGCACCATGGGCTGGCCATGGACTACCATGCTGTGGAGGAACATGTGACTGGAGAAGGGATGGATCAGCAAAGGATGAGGTGAGAACAGACCTTGCCGGGCAGCCTTCCAGGCAGCCAACAAAATCAGAAGGCGCAAACAGGGCTCAGCACTCAGCTACCTGTTGCACTGCAGCTCTTGCAGTGTATATGAATAAAAGCATATTTGGCCAAAAATTTCAGCAATCTCATGTCCCACTATAGGTCAAATACCAGCGCATCCAGGAAAAAAAACCCAAACATCAACAAAATAGCAATAAAAACCCTCTAGGGCAGAAAACAAGTGCCTGAATCATTCTGACAAGAGCTCATAGCGAGAGCAGCATTGGTTCATCGGCCAATGTGGCCCAGGGGACACTGCGATTTAGTAGAGCAGGATTCCTTAGACCAGAGGGAAAAGCTGTGGCTAAGGAAGAGGCCGGACCATGTACACACCGCAAGGATCAGTTTTTCCCCCAAATCTTACAGAGCTAAGAATTCACAGCTAACTCTGCAATAACTGCAGAAAATTTTGCTGGTGCTCTGCTGCTGCATTCTAACCCCAAACCGTCCTGATATCAGAGGTCCCCATAAACACGTCCTTTTTGATGCACTGGGAGGTGATCACAGCCTGCTACCACCCAGGCGCTCTAGCCTGCAGCAAAGCTCAGAGCTGCAAGTAGTTTCTAGGCTCAATACGGGGAAGACCATAAAGACAGCGAGGCCTTAAAGCTAGGGGTGCAATACCACAATGCCATCACCAGCCCGGAGCCGCAGCTATAATCTGACAGTCCGTCCATCCCGGCACTCTGCCTGGCCACTGCAAGTGGCTGCTGAACAGAGAGGGCATAAAGGGAGTAGAGGAGATAAGAGTGCTCACCTTCTTGCTCCCATACCCTAGCACGGGAATTACTTAAAACAAAACACAACACCAGGAGTAGAAGTCTTCATTCAGACAAGGCAAAATTCTCCTGTGCCTCAGTTTCCCCATCTGCAAAATGAGGATAACAATACCAGCATGCCTCACTGAGGAACCCATAGGTACCACCGAAGCTGTGGGTGGTGCTCCGAATACCAACAGTGTTCAAGGAAATAGTCAGCAACACAGTTTGGCCAGCGAGACATGTTTTCCCCCGCTGGTTTGCAGCTGCATCAGCTTCTCTAGGCAGACAGGAGACCATCCTTTCAACCCAGTTATGAGTAGAGCCTGAACCAAAGTGCTCTGGATGTGGTAAAAAGTCCTTCCTCCCATCTCGGACAGGCCGCGACCAGCTAGCGATGCTCACGCCTGCAAACATGCCAGCACACTGTGCCTGGCTGACAGCAAAAGCATCTCTGTTCCTGTTTCTGTATTTACCCTCATCAACATGGCCACACCAAAGGATGAGACAGGTCACAAGGAACCGCCCCAGGGAGAAGGGATGAAGAACTGCGATACAAGGCGGTGATGAGCAACGCTTGCATGCTTTTGGAGACAGCTTCCTCTGCTCAGAGCCTGCAGCTAACTCAGCTCAGAGAGTAGCATCGGCAGGGGCGTGCTGGGGGACGGATTTGCTGGGGAATGGATGGCGCCTGACCTTTCCCAAGGCAGTCTTGATCTCTGCCCAAATGCCACTGGTGTTCCCAGGGGCACCGGGAGACAGTAATGGACAAGTCATGCAAGGGAAGGAGGCAGAGAGGCCCATCCTCAGCCGTACCCATGCCACACTCTCAGACGTGTTATCCACAGGGGCACAGGAGCACAGACACACATCAAACTGTCTTACAATCAGTGTCTCTCAGTGTCGGATGGGGAGAAAAGAGGATTTTATTGCTAGGCTGTAGGGGTCAATGTCAGTGGAAAAGGGGCTCAATCCCTAACTTCGGCACAAACAGTCAACAGACAATCTTGGACACGATACTTCATCTTTGTGCCTCAGTTTCCCAGCTGGGAAACTTCTCTAATTACACTAAGAATTCTGTGTTTTACATACACCCACTTCACAGCCAAGACCTCCTCTAGCTTCTAATCCTAGATATGACTGCTATAAAAAGCCCTGTTTATCCAGGAGTCTTTTCACGACATGCCTTGAATCAGCAGCATCTGAATAGATTTTTGCTTGGCACTTCAGGGGAAAGACGGGGACGCTTTTGCCACGAACTCAATGCTGAGTTGCATGGGAGCTCGCACCACCTCTCAGGATCAGGCTGTCACTATGGCAGGGCAGACAGAGTCCCAACAGCATGTCACACTGGCTATTCACTGGGACAGGAAAGACAGGTGCTCCCTCCTCTTCTGGCCCCCCAAAAGCATAGGGATAGCACAGCAAGGAGCACAGGAGAAGGTAGGAGGAGGTGTCAGCAACATGAACCTCAAACTATTACATCTCTGATAACTTTAGATGCCACTCCAGACATCCCAACAGAGCCTGCTTTTCAGACAAGACTGCCTTAGCCCTCTCTAACTCAGCTGTTTTAGTTACAAAAGCAGTGTGACTCACTCACAGTGTGGGGGGGGAGGAGAAAGGGATTTGGACTCTCCTCAAGGCCTTCACTAACCCCAACATGGGTTGGTTCAAGGTCTTATTGCAAGCACCAAAAATACTAAATAAACCACTCCACCATCAACCCCTCCACTATCCCTTCCTTGCTCTTCCTCCCAGGAAACATTGGCACTTACTGGAAAGGCATCTTGGGCTTCACACATCCTGGCCACAGAGGCCTGAAATTCCCCGATAAAGTCGTGTCCCCCATCACTGTCGTAGTCGTAACACATGACCTAGGGCAGAAGAAGCACAAACCAGCCTCAGACACAGCAAATAATCCCCATTAGGAGAGAAAAATTCATATTTTCTCTCTGCTCTGCCCATGAGCAGTCCTCATCTTCCTGCCTGTAGTGGAGAGGCCATTTCTGCCCCGTGCCAGAGCAGCCTGGGGAGGCTCTGCAGCCAGTCTGCCTCACTGCACCCCTTCCCAGGGTTCCCTTAGTGGCTCCACACTTCTCACCACCAGCTAGAGCCAGTGCCATGACCACCCATGGGCTGTCCAGCCTCCTGGGAGCCCATCCAAGGGGCTGTCAGCTGCCTGGTGCCGCTCGCACTGCTCTGCTGATGCCACGCTGGGGAGAGAGCTGGGAGCAAGAGGGCTGGAGCACAAGGGTCTCAGGAGCACCCTTGGTGATTCCCCAGGCTCTCTGCTGCTGGGTGCCAGCCACACCTCCCTGATAGTCAGCAACAGACATATGTGCTCACACTTGTCCCGCACTAAGCAAAGGGGATGTAGCTGCCCTTACAACAGGCAGGGCCAGCAGCACCATTTGTCAAGGTTTCCAATCCATCCCTTAGGAGAGCCCAAAATAAGTTTCCTATAAACACACCATGGGGTTTCAGATGTTTGAAGGAGAGGATCACAGAGGCCGACCACCATGATACCAGCTGAAGGGCCCCACAGTTACCTTTATCAGCTTCTCTACATCTCCATCACACAGCGACACTAAAGGCACAGTGAACGGCTTCCAGATGGGGTCCAACGTGTACTTGATCACCTGTGGGGTGGGAACATAGGGATGGAGTCACAACAGATACACGTGAAATAGGACAGTTGAGCACAAAGTAGGGAATGGGTCTCCAAGAGAGGCCCTGGACCAGGTTCTCAGTGGGGCATGCCAGGCATACTGCAGAAAGCCCTGCCTCTGTCCTTTTCTGCCTCCTCAGCTGAGACACAGTAGTTCTCTAGCTGCCAGATCCTAGGCTATAGCAAGCATGAGGTACAACATATTTGCTTGCACCATCTGGTGATTTAACCACCTCCAGGGCCAATTAAGGAAACCTGTTGGACAAAACAATTCAAGAAGCAAAGCAGAAGAGCCCTCAGCAAGTTCACATCTCCTGCCTTGTCCGTGTAACATCTGCCCGAGCTGAAGAAATACAACTGACACCTTCTGACATTTACTGAGAGAATGCAGTTGCTAGTCGAAACCGGGAGGGCTAAGCAAGTGCTAGTAAGCTCTGGGTATACTTCCGCATATATCAGAGTTGCCTGCAGGACATGCAAAGACCCTCTCTTACAAAGATGTCCAGCTCAAAAAGAGAGTTTCAGCTGACTCTTAGTCTGGGGCAGAAAGTTCAGAGGTGCCAGAAATGGAGCCCTGGCAGAGAATGAGTCAAAGCCTTTTCATTATATCATTTAACTGAAGCAGCAGCTAAAATTCACACCAGGAAGTCATTTTACTATGTTTTTTCATGAGGAAAAAGGAGGGACAGGAAGTATGACAGCAACAGCAATGAGGGGAGGGACAGGTAAACTGATTTATGCGCGCTCATTCATATCACAAGAGATAGGCCTGATGAAATGGCCATTTGAGAAGGTTCAAAAGTCAGCGTTATGCAGAGCTAAATGTTACAGTGCCTTCTCATTGTAAGCTATGCCCTTGCCAGAACAAAGGCTGCACCTGAAAATACCCCATTTCCTTATGCAAGGAGGCGTTATAACCCGTGGAACTCACTGCGGCAGGGTCTTCCTGAAGAACCGAGTTTCTCCTGGTTCAAAGGAAAAAGGAAATGAAGAAGAAAAAAAAATCAAGAAACTCAGACACTGGGCAGCAAAGGGTAGACTGCAGATTAACCCTGCTCTGTGCCAAGGCCGATATGACAGAGGTAGAGATTTGTGCCAGTAGGTAAAAGCAGCCCTCTCCTTTCTCCAAAGCCATCAAGCACTTCTGCTGTGCCCCAGCTCAGCCAGGTGAGGAACAGGTCATCGCTGCTACAGGACGGAGCTGGCAAATAACCACACAGGGAACGGGCTTTTATGTTTACAGACAGGCTCCTGCGAGAGAACAGGAAAAAAACCCTGACACTGCGAGCACAGTTTGGTGAGGAATTTGTAAACATCTCCTCCATGAGGTTGGAAAGAGCAGGGAGGAACCCACGCGCCCCAGGAACACAAGCGCTAATGTGCCCATATGCTGCCAGACACTGGGGCCTGAGGGTGGGTGTGCGGAAGGAGCTGTGCTCGTGTCGGCACACGGCATCCAGCTGGGCATTCACACTTTCCCTTAAATAACATGCTGTAACAAGCATACTAATCCTTCCCTGCCAGACGCCTCCCTTGTGTCATGACAAATACTAGGCGTGGACTAACAGCTAATTGTATTCATGCACCACAAGCTGTGCGAACAGGTAACCTCTTTTAGCTTGTATCCGGTCTCAAAACACGAAACTATTCTTCTGGTTCAGGATTCCTCCAAGGGCAGCGGTTTACTTCCAGGGCTAGGAAGAACGAAGCAATTGGAGAGCCTGTAAGGTATGCAACGTTTCCTCCCCTACCTCAGCCACTTAAAAGAAAATCTGGCTAGGCCCTCAGCCACCAAGGGACAGGACTAGGGGTGGCAGGGAACTGGGGAGCAATCTGGAGGAAAATCAGCTGTACCGAAACTGACTCCCCATAAATCTGATCTGCTCACAGAGATCCCAATGACGGCTGCCCCACAGCCAGGCACGGTAGCGTTCCCAGTCCCCATGTCCCTTCCAAGAGGAAAGGACTGGAGGGCACTCAAAATCCATACATCAGAAAAATACATCTAAATACTTTCTGAGTCAAGGCAAACTACCAAATAGCATGATCCCAGCTTGCTCCCACAGTGCCGAGACTTACAACAGAAATAGGGAGTGTGAATGAAACATGACTGGAAATGTGTGTGGGAAAGCACCAGAAAAAACACCAGAGCTGGGGCTAAAAGGATGGCCCATATCAATAACGAAGGACATCATTGCTCCTAGCAGGAAAACTGTGAAGCGTGTTGCCTGTGTCAAGCACAGAAAGTCTGTGCTCTGATACGACCACAGTGTGGACAACTCGTCTGAGGAAAAGCTGTGCTCTGATAACAGGAGGATGGCAACAGGGTTATTGCCCATCACATGTGCTGGTCCTCCTCTTGTTCACCCAACCAGAAGGCAGGCTGTAGCTGCAGAGATGTTTACATCCCAAATGTATATCGTGGACAAGGAAAAGCAGACAACAGGGAGCAACTCTGAAAAGCTGTATAGGCTGAAGCAAGCAAGAGTCTGAAGGAAAGGAAGACCCCATAACACCTGGTGACTCCTAAAGGATGGGAAAGTTCTGTCCAAAAGGTAGGTCATCATCACCAATCAAGAAAAACCCAAGAGACGTGATGAGGACTCAGCAGCTGGTGTCCCTTCTCCTGTGTGTCACACACAAGTGATCCTGGCTGGGCCATTTGGTACACACATCTTGGGGCTTATCGGCATGGGGAAGTGTGAGGGAAAGGAAACTATGAGTGAACAAACAGCAGTGGGAAAAATCAACTCACTTGGTGATTTTGTTAATAAGTATCACCTTCCCCCTTCTGCAGGAGTTCACCTTGTGTTTTGTTACAATAATTTCCTACAGTGGGACTGCAGGGTCCTTAATCAAGCCTTAAGGGGAAAAGAAAAAGAAGAGTGCGAGCCGTGACTGGATGTTCTTTCTCTGGCGTGCCTGTTCCTGTGACCCTCCTCCAGCAGCTATCACCCCCCTCTGCCAGGTAGCAGGAACCTTGTGCAAAAAAATGCCTCTTCCCTTGAAACAAGCTTTGAAGATGGAGGGGAAAAGCCGTCAAACCCACTTATTGGCCTGGCTTTAAAAAAGAAAAGAGACAATGATTGTCCCATCTCTCACAGCAAAGCTTGAAGGGGGAGCAGCAGTGCCACAGCAAATGCCTCACGGCGGTCTGCCAGCAGCCAGCCTGGCTCAGCTTTGCCACAGCCTATTGCCTGAGAAGCACCCAAGCACCTTCTGCTTCATGCTGGCCTGCGATTTCACCCTCCTGCTTGGGATCCAGATCTTCACCACTTGCTTTGAAAACACTCAGCCCACTTCTCCTTCCCCTTCTCTCTGCTGCTTACTCCCCAGCATGAATCACAAGGATGGCACCTGCCCCTTCGGCAGGCTCGGAAGTCACTCAGTGAGCTGGTGGCCCAGAGCACTGCAGCTCCTCTAAGTGGAATACTCCATGCCTATGTGATCCAGGGCACAGCCAGCACCGAGGCCGAGCCAGGAGCTATGGTTTGCCTCCCCTCCCTTCATCCCTTTGGTTCATGCCTATGTTTAAACAGGGCCTCACGATCAAGAGAGTATCTGGGACCATGCAAGAGACACCTGGATTCCATGAAATAAATATGGACCCAGGCTACTGAACTGCACCTAGGTCGAAGGAATCGAGTCATGGGGTTAAGAGACTATCACCTTCTCTGCTTAGTAGATACAGTAGTGAATAGCATAAAGAGAGACTTGCAGCTCTTCTTTAAAAAAATCTGGCCTTAGTAAGTCTTCATCTGTTTGAGTCCAGTAGCCTCAGCTGGACAGGGCAAGTAGCAATATGGTTTTGAAATCCCTGGCTCCCACCTACCCGTTATCAGTGATCCACAAGATAATGACATAAAAGACAAAAAGAGCTCATTTAATGTTAGTGGTGTTTCAGTAACTCCAGTCAGAGTATCACTCACCTCCGTTCTGTGGACCAGCATCCATTTCCCGTCGTCACCTGGTTTATAAAACTCTAAGAAGGGGTCTGACTTTCCAAACAGGTCCTGGGGAAGAACAACAGCATGGTTACACAGTGATTTTCAAGCAACCGGTTCATGGCCAAGCAACAGCTGGGCCAAGTGAGACCTCCTTCCCCTCCCTTTTCCTGTAAGTCCGTCAACGGATGGACGTTGAACTGGATTGAATGTGGACATGATCCCAGCTGATCACAAGTCTTACTGAACATCTCACAGCCAACTGTGCGAGACTAACGGCTAGATTAATGCCATACACAGCACATACAAACGTGGGCCTGGGCTGGTCATAAAAAATGCCAGGTGTCTGGTGTAGATCTCAAAGGAGCTCTCGGGGTGCCTCAGCTCTAGGCTGACTCTGCTTGCGCGAGGGCCACAGCAACCCACCAACGACACATGTGGGAGCATCACAAGGCAAGCCACCAAGCTCACATCCATATTGACCAGAGAGGTAGGAACTCCCGTGTGGTTCCCAGCTTGCACTAGGAAGCCCAACTGATAGGAGACAGGTTTAAAATCAGTCAAAAAGTGTGTCTCCAGGCCAATTTAAAGAATGATGTTAAAATCCCACTTCTGGTTACATGAGGGCAGCTCTGTGTTACAATCAGATCCTCACGTAGATGCTATCATTGAATAAACGAACAGCCACAAACATGGGTCTCGGCCAGCCCCGGTACTGCTCACTAGCCCACCCACCAACAGCTAAAGCAGTGCTGGCAGGACCCAGCCTCCTTTGGTGTCCTCCCACTGCACCACCCTCAATATAAAAGACTGCTTCACAAATTTCCCATATTGGGTGGCATTCTTGGGATAATTATAATAGAAGTTTAATTCTTCTGTCATGCTTTTCATTCACAAAGTACCAAGGAAAGGAAGGGTCTTATTTCACTATCAAGTTACAGAGCAATGAAGCTAGCTATTGGCAGTGACGTTTGGCAATTAAAGCACTCCTGCGCTGATCCTGTCTCAGGGAGAGGGGAAGGCCAGGTGACCTCTTGAGATATCGTCTCCATCCCTAGCACGTTGTGACTTCCCATAGCTGTTGAAGATCGGATCACGCAAATCTTGACTTTCCCACCCCATTCCCCAGTTTGGCTTTTAGGCAGTGGGTGACTCCACAGCCTGGGCGTACACTGACAGGATTTCACTCTCAGGAGCCCAGAGCCCAGCAAGTCCTCTGGAAAAGAGGCAGCTGAGCTCGGGCTTAGAAAAACATCCACAGCTTAAAAGTTAAAAAAAAAAAAAAAAGAATTATGAAGTGCACAAGAGTCTTGGGGAAAAAAGAAAAAAAAAACCTCCTACACACAGCAATAAAGCAGGAGCAGAGCAAATCTTTAAGGAGTAAGATGCATTAGTGTTGACAGAGATCATATAACACCCTCCGAGATATGCAGACTTCAGTCAGTGTGCATTCGCCTTTCCTGCCAGCGCCTCCTTAGATAGGCCCCTGGTAAAGGGCTGCTTTGTTTTTCTCCCAGTTTATGAGAAACGCACAGACACATATCCCTCCTTGCTATCTGCACGCAGCCTATTTTGGGACACTTGCCCCGCTTGTGGAGTAGTAGCCTGCGAGCAGGCAGAGATCTCGGTTCAGCTTTGGGCAGCAGGTTTGAAGCCCAGAAAGCAGGACAAACAGCGGTGGGGGCTGGATCATCATGTGAAAGAAACTCTAGTATTTCTAAGTGGAATTTCATTCCTATTCAGAAAAACTAGGATGTGGTTACAAACAAACCAAAGCTGAAATATGTGGAATTATTTCATATTTAATGAGAACTCAAGCCTTTTCAGCTGGGTTTTCTCCTAGATGAAGTGGAGATAGCTGCCTGAATCCTATAAACAGCCGGAGGAATTTCGTACTGGTTTGAGTAGGGACTGTTCGGGCTTCCAGGCCATGCAGCGGGGAGGCAGAGGCAGGCTCCCAGTTGCAGGTGAGAAGCCTGAAAGCTCTGAGATCCCTCCTCCAGAGACAGCCCAAGAGGCAGGGGCTGTCATGGACACAGGTCCTAGCAACTCCCCAGCAGAAAACTCATTCACATTTCTATTCAAATCCTACCCGTTTCCAAAACAAGCTGGAAATGTAAATCACTGCAGAGCATTTTCCAAGCCATAACCTGCTTTGGTCACCTCTACTGACTGCTTTCATTTTATTTTATTTTATTTACAGACAGTCAGTAGAGAAGAGTAGGCCATAAAGGCTTGCAGAGAGGTTCTCTGTGGTGAGATGATTCTATTTTTTTTTTTTTATTATTTTTCACACATTTGTGAGAAAGAAAAACAGGCCATTCTTTCTACAGGGGAAACAGTCATGGTACGGTTCTGTTCCTCCTTACCTGGAGCCTGAACTCAGTGCTTTAAAGCTTTACTGTTAAATTAAAGAACTAGCAGCATGTACCTAATCCCCAAGGATCCTGACCCTGCCTGCACTTGTTTAACCTGCATCCCACAGTGGTTTTCTGGTTTTCTTACCCAGTGAGAGTTGGTCAAGGCATTGGTCCAGATGACAGAAGGGAGCTTTGAAAGATGTTTGACATGATCCTACGCACAATGGAGCAGTCTGGTTTGCAAGTCCAGTCAGCCTTGCCCCATTCAAAGCAGGATGAAAGATGCCTCCAAGCCACAGGATTGTGGACTGCTATTTTCAAATGTCAGACACCAACACATCACCCAGACGAGCCCAGCAGGAGACAAACTGAACAATGAAAAGGGTTCAGCAGACCAGAACGATCTGCAAACTGGTTCAGACATCTAATTCATCCAAACGGGGTCTTGCACATCACAGACAAGGAGGGCAGTGATGGCAGTTCCACAAGATGCACTTCCACAATACATAGTTTTTAGCACCAACTCTGGCTTAGCGCACTCTCCCCCTGCCTGTGCCAAAGCATCTCACCTGCGCACTGTCCTCCTGCTGCCCCCGCAGCTGGGTTACACAAACGTCTGTGGGGCTATGTTTATCAGGGCTGATCCTGGGCAAAAATACATTTTTTTCTGCAGGCTATGCTTTCCTTTAAAAAAAAAAACTACAAATAGCTGATCTGACAGGAGGTACAAAATCCTCCAGCTGGCTCTGCTGCTGATACTTTCCCACCTATGAAGCCTCGCCATTTAAAGCAAGGTAGTGAGCAGCACTTGGTAAAACAATGGACACATGATGTGGAGGAAGAACCTGCTCTTTGCCAGAGAAAGATCCCAGCATTGAGGTGGTCACTGGGAAGGAGCTGTCTGGGGCTGAGCATGGCTCCAGGCAGTGTTTGCAGCACAGCTGCCAGGAAGGGAAAGGTTTAACCATACAGGTTAAATTATTGCTACTCAGAGAGGAAACCAGCCAAATTCAACTTCTATGCAATGCTTTCTATTGAGATAGCTTTAAGAGTTAGAAGAAATGTGCAGAATTCATGGAGAAAACACACACACTTGCACTTTCACACCACACACAGTCAGAGCAGTCCTAGGGGGAATGTGCATGTGCACACACACACACATCCCCCCTATGCTACACAGGCCTGGACTGCAGCTGGGCAGGTCAAAAGGTCCTCGCCAAGTTGGGGTTCCTGATGCAGGTGGGTGCTCGTGGCTTCATCTCAGCACATGCAGCAAGAGCATCCCATGGTACCCCCTTGATATCCTACGGGATCTTACTCTTGAGACTCAGAGAAGATGCTTGAGTGTCCTGGCAGGCCATAGCCTTGCCCTCACACAGACCACGGGCTGTGTTGTGCTGGAGGGGGTTATCTCCCAGGCCGCAGTTAGGTGACTCATCTCTTGACAGATTTTTGCCTAGCTGCTCTTGTTATTTTCCATCAATGACCAACAACTTCCCATCAGTGAGCTGTTTATAGCCCAACCGCCTCTTTTCAGCTCACCACCTATTTTCACAGCTATTAACCCACCCTTGCACCCTACATTGTAGCAAAACGTGGCTGGTATCCAGTTCTTACAAGTTCAGACTGATAACAAGCCTAATGGTCAGGATGGGGATCTTGCACAGCTAGTATAAGATTAAGTTAGCTTAATGCCAGTAGCCAGGCACTAGCAACGGCAATGACGCTGCATTTATGGATCACCAAGCAACACTGCAACTTTCCCTGCAACGCACTACCGTGCTGGAAGGCAGCACAGCTTCTGGGGCTCCGTGCTCCACATAGGATTTCAGCAACGAACGCATGACTCCCTTAACATGCTGCCAGGTAGGAAAGACCAGTGAGAACAGTAATGGAAACTAAATCTATTGCAGTAGGCACAACCAACCTGCAAAGGGGTTTAAAACTATGATCATGCTGATAAAGACACAGGCATCTGATCTGGAACACTGATGGAAACTGAGTGCTTCCGCTGAGAAGAGAGCTGCTGAAAAGTGGTGTTTCCGGGTCATGGAGAATTTCACGATTTCTTTAAAAAATTGAGTTCAATCCAATTTCCTTTTACATGCTCAAGGACAATTTAAGCTTTAAGTGCTTCACTTTGAAGTGACATCAACATCTTTTGCCCATTACCAAGACTTTGAGCACCGCAGCACCTGTGTTATGGGAATTGGCAAAGAAACCCAGTTAACTGTTGGTAACGGCAGGCGGTCACTGAGGTGAAGTCTGAAGCTACAGAGGAAAGAGCTTTCTCCTGGACATCTATTGATAAACTGCAAGTTGAGCTAGAAAGATTAGCATTATTCACAGTCCTTATCCCAGTGCAACCCTGTATCTATATCACAAACAGCCTGCCTAAAGCATTGCAGGTAGACGTTGAATTATTACATCTTGATTTTGGGTCTGGAGGTCAACGGACCCATATGCATGATGCCCTATTTGAACAGTATCACAAGATTTCAGCTTTGCATAACCAGGCAGAGGAATCTGGTCACAAACCAGTTTAGAAAGGCAATTCCTGCCCACGGAGCAAGTGGTGCCACCAACTAACTTGCCGATATAACAAGTGCACACACGCCTGAGGTACCAGTGCCATGGGAAGGCTGGGCACAACCCCATGTCCTTAGTGCCACTCTTCAAAATGGCCATGGCTGCAAAGGGACCCCAAAGCACGAAGGAATAGTACCCAGCCTGCCATGATATCTCATCTTTTGCTTGGCAAGACAGGAGAGGTGTTTTCTTGGAGCACCAGAAGAAAATTACTGCATCAGGGATTTCTTCACTGGCACACACAGGATTCACTCTCAGCCTGGTCTCAGAGGAAGCCACTAGCTCAAGGACATCATCCAACCCCTTTGGGAAATGGAGTTATCTGGGGATTCCTTACCGGGGCACTCAGCTCCTTTCACTATAGAGTACAAGACCTGGTAGGGTAAGTGGGAGGGAGAGGAAACAACAGTTGCCACCAGTTGAGAAAATACTCGGATAAACTTTGTATTCATCTCTTTGGGACATTGAGACTGAACGACCCAAAGTTTCTGCCCCCCAAAATACCCTTCTGCCTGGATGCTTGTTTTACTGTGGTTTGAAAACTGAGGGCCATCCTGCCAATAATGCAAGCTCCAGACAGACTAGGAAGGAAAAAAAAATCCCATTGATTGCTTAGCAACAGGACTGGTTTAAGAAGAATAGCTCTGGTTGCTTGGTAAATAAGGTCAGATTGCTTTGTTCAGAAAGGCTTATGGTTTCCTGTGTATCATACACAAAGCAAAATCCATGCATTATCTACTTCCATGAGGTCAACGCTTCTTTCTTGGGAAAAGATGGGCCCTCCTGTTTGAAATATAAAATAACGTTTACTCAGTTTAGAGAAGGGCTAAAGACATCAAGCAGGCAGCACTTTGGAAATACTGCTGAAATGCTGATTCAAGGGCTACCAAAACCGTCTACTCAGTCAGGAGACATTTCCAAAAAATAGCCACTAAAGTAACAAATCTGGCTCAAAACACTGTCTTAAAGACAAGATAATACACACATCTCCTGTATGACACATGGTCTTTTCATCTCCATATGCATTATAAAGAAAGTACTATAAGGACAATAGAAATGGAGGCACAAGTTTACCCAGCAGCTAGAGGCACAGACAGGACTTGAATCCAGAGCTCCAGTCCCAGCCTAATGCCTTCTCCAGTAGGGCTGTTTTCAGTCACTGCTATACCCATAAGCAAAGATTTCTTTAGATCTCACAGCCTGTAAATCAAAGACATTTAATATTTACATCTTTTAGACACGATACTGCTTACCTTTTTATCCAGTTTTCTGCCAGCCATGCTCAGAGTAATCACTCTGTTATCCGAGAGTTCTTGGGCAGCTATCTGAAAGACAAGGGAAAGTTGTATTCATTTTCAGCATCAAAAGTAAGTGAACACCAAGCCAAAAACCAGAGAATTCAGAACCTGAGGACAAATGCTCTGGAGATACCTCTTTAACTTCTGTAGAGCCGATGCCAAAGCTAATATATTTGAACATCAATATTTCACTACCGAGGAGTAAAACTCATTTTACCTTTGCCAACCAATGGACAATTTGGGACCAAAGCCTACTCCCCAGTTGCTCCCTGGAAGGGAGAAGGAAGGAGAAAAAGCCCCAGCTTCCCTTGGATCAGCACTGTCATTTATCCTGCAAGGAGACAGTTTATACATCAGGTTTAAAAGGAAACCAGAAAGGCAGCTAGCGCTGCTGCTAACCTTGCAGCCAGAGCCCTGGGGACATCCACCAGCCTAGACAGCCTCATCCGTGGCACTGGGTCCAGGGAAGGCCGTTCACTTGCAGGGCTGGGAGTCAACAGTTAACGATGAAGCCTCTCAAGCACACAGCGCCACGTGGGAACAGGCCACCAGTACACTCCAAGCAGCCTCCTTTGCCCCCCCAGTTAGCTCTAAATCCACTCCCGTCTGAAAGGAGAAAGGAGCCTTTCCCGCATCTCTTGCCTGGCTGCGTTGGTCCTTTGCTGCAAAGTTGCTGAGGGCCCTGCAGTGACACTCGGCTGCAAGGCTCCCCTCCTTGCTCCAGGGCAGATGGCCACAGGGCCATGCCTCTCCTCTCAGGTCTTTTGATGCCACAGCCACAAGTTTCTGGCCATTTGCCAGTGGAAATGGGGCATTTTTCCCTCTTCTGCCACCTCATTCCTCACTAAGTTTCAGGAAAAACCTGAAAAGGAAAAGGAACTCCATGGGGAGGCCAGCGTGGAGATCAAAGTTATGGAAGTACAGCCGACATCAAATGCAACAGCACGTACTTTCCCTTAGCCTCAGAAAAAATAATGACGCTAATCAGGACTGAGTGCAGCAATACTGACTTCCCAGAACAACCCGAAAAGAAACTGTGAATCACAAAGCATCTGTGAATAAACTTAGCACCCTTCTTGGTTGCCACACAAAAGGATCCAATACATCTGACTGCAAAGTCTGAGCCCATCTCACCCAGCCTCCTCTGTGTGAGGGCTCCCGTGTGTCCCCACCATGCTTCAGGGACATTATGAAGCCACCAAAGGACTGAGCCGAGAGGAAGCAGGAGATGTGCAAAGCCATGCCAACAAGCTGCGCCACCTCCTCCTCTATTTACTGGGCTGGGAAAGAAAAAAGCAACTGGCCCTTTGAGTGGGGGAAACCCAGGCAGCACTGACAACTTTGGCGTACGCCACCCGAGGGTACGACCCCAAGGCTGATGACGCAGCCCTTGCTCTCCTGACAAGCTGCAGCAGACACAAGTGCAGTCCAGCTTATTTCAGTTTAAGAGACATTTCGCACATGCACTTCAAAATGGCTTTGACTGCCAAACACCAGTGGGCCAGTTCTGTCTGGAACACAGGCTAATGACTCTCTTGGTATTTTAAGAAAGGGAATGTTTGTAACTAAAAAAATATAATTTATTCACTTCTGTTAGCAGTAACTTTCTGAATCACTTGCATTTTGTCCTAAAGGCTGTGTCCTGCCCAAACATCTGTTCTCTACTTCACTATCTCACTGTTCCTTGCCCTTTCCCCTGGCCTAATGCAGTCCAGCCTGAAATTCAGTAGCTGAGCCTGTCCCTCAATGCCACTGGCCCTGGGGGCAGCTGTGCATAGAAAGGAAAGGAGACAGCAGCAGGGCACCCTGAAGCACAGAGGGGACATTTTTCCTCTTATTAGTAGCATGCTAGCTTCCCAAGCATCGCCTCTTGCTAGATCGCACAAGGAGGCTGTTTTTTTACTATAAGCACACCGTGTAATTACAGCCAGGCCTTTATAAAACTGTGAAATCAAGGAGATAATCTTCCTCAAAATGAGCAATCAGAGCATTAATCGCACTTAGGAAAACCACAGAGTTTGCAGAGATAACTAGACAGAGTTGTAGCCTTTGAATCTGCCTGGACAACTAGGCTAGGGAACGAGTCACGGCTCCTGCACAGCTATCAGAGCAAAGCATTCTAAGAGAAGACGGGTCTCTTTAGTCCACAGAACAAATACATACAGCCCCTCGCTACCCAGATGTTCACTTCCAACTGGAGCAACAAGTGCTTTGAGTTGAACTTATTCCAAGGGGCAGGCTAGAGTTTTGAGAAGCTAAACAGGACCCAGAAACAAGTCCAAACGCTAACCTGAGGGTTCAGCGAGGTGTGTAAAAAGCCTTGGTTTAATTTGCTTGTAGGTAGTGGGGAAGAGGAGGTATTCTGTGCAGTTACTCAAGATGCTGCTTGCTGTGCAATCATGCTCAGCATGTGCTCAGGTGGAGAATCTGCTCGCTACAAGCAAAACCAATTTCTCTCTCTCCCTGTATACATGTGTATCATTGTAGATTAAGTCAGAATAAGTTCTCTACTAGCAAATGTACCAGGTAATTCTCTGTGTCATGAGAGGAACAGGTAGTATTAGGACCTCTATGGAAACCATCATCTAAGGAACAAGAGGAGATTCACTTCCCAGACAGACTCCAGCACAGACAGAGCTGGTCATGGCACATGATCTGAGTGTAAACCTGAGCCCAAGGGACTGCAGAGGACTGACCCTCATCCCATCCTTAAAAGAGAGAAAATGAAATCCCAACCACAGCACACAGCTGGCATCATGCTGCCCACTACCAGAAACAGGGCTGGACAGGCTCTCCACTCGCTCTCTTCAGGCTGCTTGTGCTCACAAGCTTCCTGATGGGCTCAGGGAGGCTGCTGGTGCGAGTTCTTCCACCTCGGCCACACACGCAACATAGAGATGCTCCCTCATGCTACAAGCACAATAAATTCCCTGGGGAGACTCCCCATAGGGCTCTGTTTGCTGTGAGGACCATAAACTTGGATTTCTCTAGGGACATGTTTTTCAAAGATGTGGCTTATTCTCTATTTACTTTGAAATGAGCCATGGTATCAGTCCTCTCCTGCATGTAGTCCTTGGTGGGCCCGGACCACACATGGTCACTAGAAACAGTGCCAGGAACAGAAGCTATAGGGAATCAGATTGAGAGAACTCTTCTTTGCAAGTGTTCATGGGGAGGTTTGATGCATGTGTCAATTCATTTGGGTCCCTTTCCAGTCTGTCTTCAAAATGCCTTTGTTGACCCGATGGTTTGTGAGCTGTGGCTGCAGAGCTCTACCATCTCAATAGAAGGAAGCATTGAAAACCCATCTGCCTTCCACCAATGTCATCACCTGGGCCAGGGTGGAAATTTGCCCTTCACTGGGCACCCTCTTCACAAAAACAAACCCAGCGTGGAGTCCTCATATTGTAGGGCTCACTGGGCTGGTGCATGCTGGAAAGAAGCTTGACCACAACAAAGCCCTTTCCAAAGGAGTCAGAAATTTCTCTTCAGCTGCTGAATGAGGTGGGGAGTGAAAGGCCTAAATTACACAATGAATTAACTTAGGCCTTATTTCCATAATGAAGGCAATTGCAAGGATGCTCTGGTGAGGCAGAAAGCACCACGCAGCATGCAAGCCTTGTCACAGGACCCACCAGCATCACCAGTATCCGGAACAAGCCAGATGCTTGTACCACACTGGCACAGGGTCCTGGTAGTATCTTCCCATTGCCAGCACAGCCAACAAAAACCCACAAACCACTTGAACCAGCAGAGGTATGTCTTTTATTCAAGTGACAGAAATCAAGGCTTTTCATGTTAAAAGACCTCAGCATTGATTCCTACAAATACAAGATTGTTTCATACCAATACAATGACATGCGTTGGGATTTCCTCATCTATTTAAGCTTAGGGACCCTAGCTTGAGTCCATCAATCCAGCCAATGCACTTCTACTGCATTCATCACTGTGACATTTGTGTGCTGCAGTTTAGAAAATGGATACTTGGAAAAAGTTGAAGGGAATGTGGGTGAGGAAGGTAGGGTTTGGCTCCAAAATCCACATTTTTGTATGCATTGAAGTTTACAGAGTCCAAAGCAGAAGACTCCTCCTGTCTTGCTGCTTATAGCCCAAAACTCAACAGTCGTAGCATGGGGGCTCGCTGTACTCCAACACTGCACCAAAACACAAGGGAAAGGAGCTCCCAGCCTATGTGAGCTAGCCACAGTCTATTTTCATCACCCAATCTGATTTAAGTGGGGGGGGGGGGCAAAAAATCAGAAAATTACAGAAAGGGGATGAACTGAACTAGACATCTCAGACCCTTTGATTTTAATGGCATATTAGTGACTAATAAGAAATTTTATTTTCCAAAGCATGCAACTTGGGAACTTGACTGGAAACTTTTAATCTGGTCCAGTTCATCCCAAACAAGTGTCAGAGGCAGGGGGTAGAGCCCAGGACTCACCGAACACATATAGCATCAGGTACCGCTTGTGAACTTTGCCACTGCTTTTCTTTTTGCATTTAAAGATTAACTGCAGCAATTAAGAGAGAAAAGCTGACCACATCTTCCCAGTCTCTCTAGCAAATCGCAATGGAGATGCTCTTGCAGCAACCACACCCTGGTCTTTTATACCGCTTTTAAGCCCTTCCAAGGCTTTTTAAACCTAATTGTGGTTTAACCCCTTGTGGGCTATCTCAAGAAACACAGGAGAAGGAAAAGCCTTTTCTCCCACACCTTTGCTGCACAGCTGTGTGTTTACCAAAGACCATAACTAATGCAGAAAAGAGATCCAAGAGGCTGAGAGAGGGGGAAATGGGCCTAAATTTAGTCTTTTCATTTTAAAAAAATATCCCTAAACAGATCAGAAGCAGGAATGCCATTGCCTGAAGGGGTCTGCTGCAGGAGCAGAGGCTGTTGCTAAGAGACCTGTTGCTACCGCATAACTCACAACCTCTTACTACAAACAAAATCACTGATTATCAGCGCAGTCATCAGCCCTTGTACCTCTATCTACTCCAAGGAGGACCGAATAGACATTTTGTATCACAAGATAACAAACAACAACAACAACATACATTTACTTTGTACTTTTCCAAATTTAGGTTTTATTTTAGTGCTCAGAGACGGAAATAGAGATCGAAGTCTCACAGTGCTGGACACCCAAAGGACACCGGGCAAGATGGTCCCTACCTCAAATACCTCGTCCTCCAAACAGACCAAGGGTGGCAGGCAAATGAGAGGCAAAGGATCTGTAGTTAATGAGAACCCATAAACCCTGGACTCCTGGGCCCCATGCGAGCATCCAGCCTTGCCCCCATTTTATTATCTGTATTTACACACTCGATATGTAACATAAATGAGTAACTGTACCGTTATCATCCCTTTCCCAGCTGGTTTGCCGTTCCCCAGAAGGAGAGTTCTTGTTATTTTCTTGCTGGAGACGATCTAGAGAAGTCAAAGAAAATAAAGTCATGATTGTACAAGCATTCGAAAGCAGAGTCATAAGCAACTGATCATTGCTCACGTTGGTTAACTCTGATGAAGCATTCCCAACAGCAAAAGACAGACATCATATTTTAACAGGGACCATGATAACACTCATATCACCACCATCGCCCCTGGCACCCAAATGAAGTTCTTTGCTCGTCACGAGAACAAGCCCCAGGACACACCAGCTTTCACAGCAGCGCCCTTCAACACAGCCTAGTCCTCGGAGGACAGGGCAGCCATTAAACGGCACACAGCAACAGCACCAACGGGTCGAAATGATCTGTATAACATGCCACCTCCAATTTAACCTGCAGAGCAGATCATCATGCAGTGCAGGTCGGCGGGATCTTACGAAGCCAGAGTTACTGTGATTTTTCCAAGCAAAATTATAAGCTAATCTTTTAAATCCCACTTTAAATACTTCCTTGGACCACAAAAGAAAATTCCTCTTTCTACTACCATGACTACTGCTCCAGCAATTCATTTCCAGGCCACGTTTCCATGGCTGAATCCTGAAACAAACAGGATGCTCCCCCCTTGCCCAAGTCTCCAGGACCCGCTGCCAAGCGAGGCACCAGGGCAAGTACTGCTGTAAGGTGTTTTTCTCTGTCTTTTACCTCTGGCTTGTAAGAGACCAGACAGGACCATCTAGGAGCTGAATTAAACCCTTTGCGATTTTCCTGGCTCAGTGAGTTTCAGCCATCTTCGGAGTTGGGAATCCTGCAAGCTTTTCCAAAGGAGGTGAAAATCCCTGCATAACAAACTAGAACCTGATGAAATCAGCCTTGCTTGTCTCCCTTTCCTCTCAGGAACTCCTTTCAAGACTTATGGGCTACAGTTTAAGAAAAATGCAGTCCCATCCACCCTTGGAACTATGTCATACTTGCAGCATCCACTAGAACCAGCTTAAGAAACTACTACTAATAACAAGAAGTAATGAAATGGCTTAACTTCTTGCTCCTGCCATACACACACGAGACCAGGCGACCCAGCCACACTCAAGTTCTTCCCATTCCTCCCCAGCAATGCTTTTCTCCCTCTTTTTGCAATTGCAAGGCAAAGCTCCTCTCACTGTGGCTAGCTGCACAGGAGCGATCCCTCCTGTGGTTACGCCGGGATCTTTGATCCAGTTGCGTCCTGGAGCTTTTTGCTCTAGAAAGGCATAGGAACCACCAAATAACATAACTGCATGTTTGTGCAACATTATGTACAGGGTGGCGAGATGTCCTAACCCTGGCTAGCAGAAACCACTTATGACTGGAAGCCTGCAATTTGATCCCTATTAGATTTCATTTGGCCACAGAGGTCATTACAGGTCTGAGAATGATGCAGCCATCCTTTTAAATCTCACCACAGACCTAATTAGCTGCAATACCATGATCTGGCAAATCTGACAGAGCTCTGATGCAAACTCAGAATTGAAAAGCCAGATGCTCATTTTGTGGTTCTTCAGAGCCAGATTATTTCTACCCAAGTCTGCTTTCTTTCCCCTCCAATAACTGCTCATGCCTCAAAACTAGGCAGGTATATGAAAGCATCTCACCAGACAAGAAATAGAGATCAAAACATAGCCAGAAAACCCACAGCAGCCTGGCTGAGCCCACAAGCCCAAGCCCTCTCCGTTTGATTCCTCTCCTCATCAGACACCCTGGCACACATGCTACTGCTCCAATCTGCCTCTCCCCCATGATCAGGCTCTGCTGCAAATCTGGGGCCTGCAGCATGCCAGGGGGCAGTGCTCTCCACAGGGAGACAAGAGCAAAATTTCAGGCAGAACACTTCCATGAATGGCTCCACTCCAGTCTTAACCTACAGGGTATAGAGCGAGGAGATACATTCAAAGCTTAGAGGTTGCAATCTTTCATTAAGACCAGAGGAAAAGGAGAAATAATCATCCCATTCCAAGTTGGTGTCCATTATGGACTAGAAGTCAACAAGAAGTTCACATATCACTGCCTTGGGTTTATGGGAACTGAAGCAAAAATTCCAAACTCTGTCCACAGGAAAGGTAAGTTCTCTTCTGCAGAGCATGAGCAGTTGCAAGAGTTTACAAGAGTTACAAGAGTTTAGAGTTATCTTTTCTCTAATAATATATTTTTTTTCTTTTTTAAAAAATGAAATCGAATTATAGACAGTTGAGGAATGTGAGATTGGAGACAGAGCCCCATGCTGTCAGTGAAGCTGAATAATTCCCCCTTTGCTGTCCCAATGCAGGAGTGTCACTGAGCAGTCTTCTTCCTCTTCCTCCTCCGAGCCAGATGCCCTGCACACTCTGAGATGGGCACTTGCTTGTGTCTTTACAGAGCACTTCTGAAAACCCAGCCCACGAGAGACGTTATAGCTCAAACTTTGTAAATGAAAGTGCTCTTCTGACAAGTCAAGGTCTCGAGTGCCAGAACACAGCTGGCAAAGGGAAGGTTATTCAGCCCCTCTTTGGCATATGCAGAGCCACATTATAGTCTGTGTAATGATGTGATCACATTCATGATCCTCCCTCAACACCTTGTGCTAGCTGACCACTCCAACCCACTTATTACATTGTCTGCTTTCTCCTGGTTCCCAGTGCTGAGCACAAAAGAGAGAATTTCTCCCAGTCTCTACGCTCATGCCAGGTACCACAGAAGCCCTGGGCAGCTGGATGCTGAAAAAGAATGGAAAAATCCCACTCATTTCCTGCCTCTGAGTCAGAGCATGCTCAAAAGAGAGACAAGTTTGGAGAATTTAGCTGTCAAATCCTAACAGGGTCTGGGCTCCTGCAAAACAGAGACCTTCCAAAGGCTTATAAATTCCATGTGTCTCAATCTTTCCCACAAGAACAGAAGACACATTCCTGCACCAACATGCTAAAGTAGGAAATAGGATTTGCTATACAATTGCAAGGTTATCCTGCATGTGGACAAAGCAAGGTCTGTTTTTCTTTTTGTTCTCAAAAAGAAGAAAGAACAATATTTTTATTACAGAAACTTTGCCAAAAAAGAAAAAGAAAAACATGCATTGTATTACATTCAGGCAAATAACTGAGAAAGAATTGTAGACTGAATTGATCCTAACTTAAAGCATCTGAAAGTTTCCTGAGTCCAAATCCAAGCTAGTCTTTGGGGCTCCAACTATAACCCACAGAGAGAAACAGGTACCTCCAAAGGCTTCCAAGATAAGTGTCCTAGATAATTCGGCATATCATCCTCCCCTACGTTCACCAGGGATTTTAATCCTCTCTGCAGGATAACAGGAGCCCGTATGACTAGCTTAGACTTGGGCAAATAGCTAGGAGACTTCTAAATTCAAATGAGAAGAACCCCAGCCCTAACATGGAGCAGGTCAAATGCAACAAAATTATATGAAAGTAGCTTTGGCCAGGAAGGACTCAGCAACTTAACTGCAGATCACAGTAGCAGGTATAATCCCCCTACTTCCCTGTGGCTGATATTAGTTGGGGTCCCTTTTCTGGGGGGCAGTGAGCTGCAGGGGGCTAGGATGTCTCAGACTCACCATGCCCAGCGTGCAGGAGAATTCACCCAGGAAGTCATGCTCATACAGCTGCATGCTCGACTTGTCCTGGTCAAATAGAGCAAACTTGAGCTTCTGTACTTCTTCAAAGTGATAGTCAACAATGAACTTCTTTGAGAAAGCTGGGTTGAGGTTGTTCACAGCTGTCTCTGTCCTGTCGAGCTACAAGGGAAAAAAGAGGCATAGGTATTCAGACATCTACATCCCAACTTCATGACATGTGAGAGTGCCAACTCAGCCAAGGCTCAGGGTGGATTCAAAGCTTCTTGAAGCCAGTCTTTGCATTTGCTTCTGACATCTCTTCTCTCAAGACACAAAAGGTCCCTCGAGCTGATGTTCTCAAGCACCTCCTCACTCCCAAAACACCACCTCTCCATTTGGACTGCGTTTGTGGCACCAGTTCAGCTTGTTCCCCACACCCAGCCCCAAAGAACTTAAAAATTTGTGGAGGATTTTGCACTGCATTTCTTCACCTGGGTGATTCACCTTAAGTGCATAGGTCCAACAGAAGCAGTTAATTCACACACTGTTCTGCGACACTGCCTGGAAACTCCTTACTAGAATACTTCTCTGATCCTCAGCCAGGCAGACATGCATAGCTGTAATGCTTTCTAAGTCAGGCCAAACCTGTTTCTTTCGAACTGTGCAGCTAGTAACAACGTCAAGCAAAAAAAAAAGTTTTACAACTCAGAACAGTAACCCTCTAACATTACCCACTAGAACCTCAAAACAAAACATCCATGTGGTTTCTTCTTTCTTGGCCCACCATAGCAAAAAAAAAAAAAAAAATCACCACAGTCCATTTTTCTTGGATTTAGCCAAGCATTAGGAGAAACAAAAGGCTGGAAGGATACAGAAGACGATACTTAATAGGCTTTGTCATTCAAAATAGCTCAGGAAGTCCCTCAGGCAGAGGGATCATCTTTGTACTTATAACTTCCTTCTGCTAGGAAAGGGAGCTAATTTAGCTCTCACCCAGCTTAGCACTAGTGTCTAAAGTAGATGAAGCCTGCAGGCCCCAGGACTGAATCGTAAATGAGCTCGAGAGACGTTGCTGAGGATGCGACTGCAAACCCAGCTAGAACCAGCCCTCAAAGGTACAGCACACAATGGACAGAGGTAACTGTTAACCTTCAGGTAAGACAAGGCACTATGAAGTAGGAACATAGCAACCATCCCGGGACGGAGACGTGAACCAATCAAAAGGAAAGAGACCACCGACTCAGTAAAGAAGATTGGAAGAGACTGTCACTAGCAGGCAGGGAAATTTGACTGTAAGGAGTACAATTTCCCCAAAATTTCTTTGTTTGGGGTCCCTCCCTGGAGGCACCCAGCTCGAGCTGTTACTTTGCTGTACCGTCATTTAAATAAACAATTAAATTCACTGTTAGACGTACGTGAGACTCTGCTCCTAGGAAACCTAGGGTCAAACTATTTCCATAAGACTTCATACAAGTAGGACTGGGACATGGAGATTACATTAAGTGACTAGTGCAGGAGACACTTGAGACAGGGCCAAACCTGAATCTCCCAAGTCCCTGAGGTACCTACTCCAGCAGCCTAGGCCTTGGCCACTTAGAGATGTAATACATCCCATTTCTGGCTACTGCCTGAAAAACTCTTGGCTAAATCCACTAAGTCCAGTCAGTTTGCTCTTCCCAGTCTCATTTCTGCAATGAGATGACCTCTCCATATGCAGACAGGAGGCTCCAGACTGCAAAGCTCTGTGTGAAAAATTCTGACCCTTATTCTGTCAATACTGCCATAAAACCTGCAGTTTGGATATTAATGCACTAAGGAAGGAGAACTTTTGTCAGCTTAGACATGTTATTGGAGAGCTGGTGCTGGCAGGATAACTCTTCTCAGCATGTTGTGCCTCTTCTCTGATATTTCAGGAACAGTAGCAGGGGTGTGCTAACACAACACCAGCCCAGATGTGCCACAAGCTCCTGCTTGTGAGACAGTCACCCATTTGACATAGGGGTTTCATGTTGGCTCGTCCACCCCACGGCCATGGGAAACACTTAGCACCTTTCTCCAAAAGGGACTTTCCCAGAGGCAGGACCAGCCTTCAGAGAAGGAAGTAGGTGGAGAGCAGATGGAAGCAATATCGCTCCTCCAAAACACACCCGCCCACACTAGCACCCTATCAGCCAGGACCAGCCAAGCTGGCTTCCTAAATCCGATGAGCTACCAAGAACCACAGACAGCACCCAGTCCAGCCTCCCCAGAAGGGGCACAATCCCACCAGCAGAGCCATGACCTGGAGCATCTCCTCCATCCTCAGACACCCCAGAGACGCAATCCACTTTTCAAGAGCTGATAAGAACTTACCACTTAGGTTAGGTGCTTAAAAACAACAACAACAAAAAACTTTCAAAGCATCAGCCTTAATTCCTAGTAACTAAATACCACATTGACAGATACTTTCAAAAACGCTACAGCTGCATGTTGGACTGGTGCAGTGCTGACAGTAGGACTGGTGAGAAGGCTGAAATAAAAGATGTCTCAAAAAATAAAAATAAAAATAAAATAAAATAAAATAGCGAGGAGTCTGTGTGCTGTTGGCCAGTTGAATAACACTGGGGAAGCTCGTGACCATGGTAGGAGCTTCAAAGGGCTGACAGCCATGGGGGAAGCAGCTCCTTGTTCAGTCTGCCCTTACACTGAGCCCTTATATTGAGCTGGTGACCTGGGCCCATCAACAGCCTTGGTGTCCAGGGCTTAGGCCCCCAAGTTGAAGGAGGACTGTTGTGTTCAGTTAAAGTCTGGATGTACTTGGGTCTAAAAAGGTGCTCGGTGGCCTGGAAGTGAGAGCACACAGAGGTTAAATGTGGAGCTGCAAACTGAAAGGTCCCTGAAGCCGGCATGGGGAATCCACGGTTAGAGAGTAAGGATGAACAAGACCTGCCTGGGAACTCCAGCCACAGCACTGCGGGAGAGATCCCGGAGCAGGAACAGTGATAAGAGCAGAGGAAACTTGGCAGGCAGCTGGCGGAAGTGTGAGTTTACAACACAGCATGGTACAGATGGACACAAAATCTCAGCTTAGCCAAAAATCTTGGCAACAGCCAGCAGAGGATGCTCCCTCTGCTCACAGAGCTCCAGCACCAGACCCCATAATACCTGCTGTTAGAGGGCCTCAGCGCCTTAAAATTTACGCCAATCTGGTAGATGTGGAGCAGGAGAAACTCAAATATTGCCTTGACTGGGAAATGGAAGCAGAGAGAAGTTGGTGTATTCACCCAAGGTCCTTCAGAATATGGCCAAGGAGGGTCCAAGTCCTCATTTCAGGACCTGTTTTCCCCACCAGGCCACTTCTCCATCCCTAAAGGTAGCAGAAAAGGGCAAGTTTGGAGGGACAACACACAAAATACCCTCAGGGAGCTAAAAAGGACAGAAGTAAAGCTGGAAGCACAGCTTGACTAAGTGACTGCTGAACAGGAAATGAAGGGTATGGCATAATAACCATTTACAAATGCTTGCAAGGATAAATTACAAGGATAGATTACAAGCAAGCAAATGAAATAAGAGCTTTGTAAGGAAAGACAGCTACAAATATTGTGATAGTTTAAAAAAAGGGGGGGAGCGAGTGAGAGCGCGAGCGAGAGAAAGCGAGTTCTCAGCCAATTTTATAACGGGCTTCCTGCAAGACTGTGGGAGAAAATCCCATGGAAAGCACTGAACACTTGGAGCTCTTGAGCTTCTCAGGCTTGACAGGGAAAAAGAGTCACAAAACCAGACCAGGCTGGGAGCAGTCCTGCCCTGACAAAGTTGGCAGATGACACGGTAGCGTTGGCCTTTTTTCCATTTCACTCTATTATTCCAGGATAAAGTTATGGGAGCAATTAAAATAGAAAGAAAGATACATGGACTCCAGTGTGATTTTATCAAAAACACACTACTTTTAAACACTTTGGGAGATGGACTCCTCAGCTGGTGGTACCATGCCTCTTGCACATGAACAATATCCCTGCCTAGACCAAAGGCTTCTGGGTGCACAGGGGCTCCAGTGTGGACATGCTTTTCTTGGCTGCAAGTGCTGGAAATGGCTGCTGCTTTGAGCCCCAAGCTGCCGCCTGAAAGGGAGCACTGTTGAGATTCGCAGAGCAAAGACTTGCAAAGTCCAGAGCCTGCTGCATCTCCGAGACGACAATCCCAAAAGACTGCAAGAGTGATCACCAACAATTCCCTGACTGTCCCAAACTGCTTTCTTTTCAGCTGCAGTTTCTTCCCCATACAAGGGTCTCTGAACTCTGATTGCCAACACAACAACGGGGGGCTTCCCAATGCTCAGAGCCCTTCACATTTTAGCAGCCAAACTACTTGGGATGCACCCTCCTGCGACCCTTTCCACCGGGTCACAACAGTGGTATAGGAGGCACCTTGGGAAACAGCACCCCATAAGCAGAGCAGGGAAGGTACGGACTGTTCCCTTCCCACAAGCTAACTCCTGAAGGTCACCCTGAGCCAGGAGGCCTCATCCCACCCATATCCAGTTTGCTTTCAGCTGACTCCAGATCTGCAAATGAAAGTCTACACTAAGGAGGACTTTGGATCAGCTGGATGCGGTCCGTGGTGGGCCGCCGGGAGCTGAGCGCAGAGGAGGGAACAGACCAAACTTCACATTCATGATCAAACCTCTAGGCTGTCCTTCCACACATCGCACAAAACATTTTGCCAGCAAAGTGAAATCCTCCCTACTCCTTCCCCTAAGTCATTTAAAAGCAACCACCATGGCAAGAAGAGACGTTTTCTTCCTCATTTCAAGCCCAGTGGTACCCACATCTCACCCGCCATTCTTAGGTCTTCCAAAAGCTGCTGCCACATGGTGTTAGAGCGCTCCCTCCTTCACGGCTGCACGCAGGAAGACACTGGACATCACCACCAACCCACAGCTCTGCTGAGCACCGTTCCTCGCTTCGCAGCTTGGAAACCCAACCCTGGAGTGGTCTGAGCTAGCAGACACAACCCACGCCCACAGCAACACTTCTGCTGGGAAGCAGCCTCTGCCCTAACATCTGTGGGCAGCGACAGGAGAGCAGGATGCAGAGGATGTCTGCCAGACCTGGAGAGTTGGAAATAGTCATATTACAGGAGGGGAAAAAAAAAAAAAAAGATGCAGAACACACCTTAGTCCCTATGAAACACATTCAGCATAG